AACTAATTAGAGGTCCACCGTTCATACAACTTTAAATCAATCGCAGAAGCACTATTTTGAATGCCATCAAGATGATTCCGCGTGTCCGTTGTCCGATCACTCATCAAAGTACATGTCGCCAATCATGTCACACCGCGTTGGCTCGTTTTGGCATACCATGCCTTTGTTTCCAACCAGGGCAGGGGTAGATATATGAATCTACTCAGCGTACATATTACCCCGCTTGTAACTTGGCAACATTTATTTGGCCGAGCACAATGCATCCGTTCCTAATTGGGGTAGGGACAAATATATGAATCTATCCGACATATAATTTACCCCATTTGAGAAACAGCAATAACATGACTCAGCTTGCGGTTAAGATTCAGATATGGGGCAAAGTTAAGTCGGCCCTTGTTTTTACCCTATGTTTCCCATTACATGAATCCATTCGGCATTACATAATTTTTTAACATTACATCTATAATTGCGTTATGGCGATTAGCCAAGCATCAAGTTAGACTAGTATGATAATTGTATTTCTAACACATTCATTCATAAAGACATTTTTTGTACACAATGGAGTGTTTTCATTCATAAACTGACTTGTTACATGATTCAGTCACTTTACAAATGAAAATGGCCCTATCATATTCTAACAACAACAACAACAACAAAAAGAAAAACAAAACCAAAACCAAAAAAAAAGAAAAGAAAAATAAATAAATAAAACACAAGCTACACAAAGAACAAGAACACCAAATCTAGCTAGTTGGCCTCAGAGTTATTCTAGGTCCAATTCCAAGGGCTCAATGTCTTCTTGCTCAAACGGAATCGGCACGTCGAGCATAACTGCCTCAGAGTTATTCTAGGTCCAATTCCAAGGGCTCAATGTCTTCTTGCTCAAACGGAATCGGCACGTCGAGCATAACTTGTGCAACTACGAGCACCTTAAGCCAGTGTTTGAAGCCCCAGTTCTCAAACTTCAGAGCTTCGTCGGTATATTTTTTTGTTGCCACTTTTTTTCCTCCTCAAAGGGCTTAGATATCGCCGATTGTGCCTCTTTTCTTGCGTTTCTAGCCTCTAGCACCTCAGCCTTGAGCTTTTCAAGGTCTTCCTTTGTTGTTTTCAAGATTGCGTCGAAAAGGTTTGCCCTTTCTTCAGCAGCACAATGAAGTAGGTCAACGTATTTGGTTTTTTCTTCTTCAGCGGTAGCCTTTTGTCGTTCCTCATTGGCCCTCTTTTCTCTAGCCTCTGCCTTCTATGATGCTACGTCCAGTTCAGCCGCCGCCGACCTGGTCTTACCTTGCCACTTCTACCTTAAGTTGATTGATCAACTTGATTGCATCATGATGCAAGTGATTGATCTCAATAATTCGCTCGACAGCCTGCAAAAGTAGCAAAAAGTTAAGATGATTCTTGGAATTTAAAGTTACACAAATGATTGCATTTGCTGACCTAAGTCACCAGAACGACCGATTGAGCAGCCATAGCGATCGATACAATGTTTGGTTTAGCGTGGAACATCGCCTTGTCCAATGGAAGAGTAATGGCGGTAGCCATTGTCAGTGCAACTCCAAGCTCTTTCACCGCTGAAGTACCTGTTGCGATGAGCGATCCCTTGGTCATTGGTTGGATGGTGAACGACGTCGCTAAATCAAGAACGGGTGAAGCTATTGGTCTTTTTTCAATTGGCTACTTAACCAATTGGGTGGACTTGGCAAGATGATTGGATCCCCTCTGATCAGCTCTAATTTCTTTGGTCATAGGCGAAGTTTGTTGTGTCGATTCAGTGGAGATGGAGTGAGCGGTGACCTCTTCTGACTAAGTCACCAGTGGTGGAGGGGCCTCTTGGCTAACGCTGGCAGTTCCAACCACTTTTTTCTTCACAACTAGCCTCTCGAGATTCCTTTTTTTAGCAAATTGAGCCAACGAAAGTGCTTCCCCAACCATTTCTTTGGCTCTAGGTCCTAGCAGATCATCCAAACAAGAAATATATCGGCCTCTTCTTGAGTGCCTTCCAAATTCACTTGAGCAAGAGAAGGCACAAATTCTAAGCCTTGGTAGGAGAGGCTAGTTTCGTTCTCGTAAACATCAATAGCCGGATCAAGTCTTATGTTCTTGGCGTCTTGATCATCAGTGTCTTGTTGAACTTGTACAATTGGCTTGGCGTTCTCTTCGCCATTCCCACTGTCCGAAGATTCACCCACTCCTATATCCCTTAAGTCGACATAGCATTCAAAGACAAGAGCCATGAGTTGTTGTTCGCCTTCGAGAATTAGAATGTGATCGGCAGCAGTAAAGGAGTGGGATGGATTATATCGGAGAAGGATATGGGTGGCACGCCATTGTCTTTGAAGATTTTTTCGTCCAGTGTAATCAAAGACAGTTTTGACTTGGGCTAGAACGACCTTGTCCCCTGAAGTAATTGCTCTTTTAAGGTTGCTACCTACACCGAAAAGAAAAATATGGAAAGAAAGAAACTGTTAGCATTCAGAAATAGAAAGTCGAATAATACAGAAGCTGATTAGCATCTACTCGGCCAACTAGTTCACCATTTTGCCTGGGAATAAGGTCCGAGCGGTTTTCTCTCGTGCCAAATTTCCAGTTATCTCGAACGAGGACCATGACATCGTCCACCTTTTTTCCTGCACTAGCGAGCATGGTCACTAGTTTGTGGTCGACATCTTTGGCCTTCAAGAAAAAGTGTCCTTGCCGACCAGATGACTTGGTAAGGGCATAGTAGTGCCAAATGGTAGTGATGTCTAGGTTTATGTCCAATTGGCAGTTGAGTTCCACGATTCCCATGACAATCCGATAGAAATTGAAATTTGGCTGCAACGAAATTAGCCTTTAGAAGTAAAGAACATATCTGAGAAAGGGGTGGAAGGGGAAGCAAACTCCACCCTCAGTGATCACCAACGATAGAAAAATGATGGTACTGGCGTCATCCATTTCTAAGTTTACCACCGCATCCCCTATTGAGTTCCAATTAAACGTCGTTTGGAATTGCAAAATGACGACGGAAAGAAACGAGTCTACTCTTAGAAAGTAGGGCTTTTAGGTAGTTTGCCATAGGTGAAATGAATACGACAGTATGGCAGAAATGTGAACTAAAAAGGAAGAGGTTGGAGAAGGTAAACTAACGAAAGCAAAGCGAGAGAGAAAAGCTTAGAGGACTTACATATGAGAATGAAGACTACTCAATCGGTGAGGACTATGTAGCAACTGCAATCAAAGAGATAGGAATGAAGAGTCGTGAGAGTGGTGTCTTTTCAGAAGTGAAGGAGCAGTAAAGACAGCTTTTTGAAATCGCATTTAATGAGTGAGAAGAATTCGAAGAAGCAGGAAGCTTTACATATTCTTCACCAAGTCCCATCCATTATGTCAGATGTGGAATGGTGTGCCCAATATGCCTCCAGATTTCTTCAAGGTATATCAAGTGTAAGTAAGTTCATCACAATTGGCCAAATAGTTAGCCCAGTGGGAGTCGAGTATGCAGTCCACTCTGAATTCTCGCTAGCTAGGTACTCGGGGGGCAATTGTTGGTGTTGAATAAATGGGATTTCTAATTAGCAAACAGGGCGTACCCAAGCCCATCTGTGATGAGCCAGATCCATCTAAAGCCCACTGGACTCAAACATATCATTGTCGAGTAACTTTAAACGGGTTGAGGAAATTGCCAAGGGCACTCAAACCATGCGTATGAGCCGAGTACATCGGGTCTCTCAGAATGGCAGTCTACCTTAAGTGGGCCCGAGCTATCCTTTTCTAGAAAATATAATATAGAAATGGGCCCTGACATGGCCATGATTAAGGGCTAAGCTACGAGAGAAAATATCTAGAAGATTGGCTCTATAAAAGGAGGTAAAGGTGGAACAAAAAGCTATTTTCTAACAACTTACACTCTAAGAAACTGAAGAACTTTATCTTCTTTCTATAATAGACTAACTTGAGAAGTGTTAATTCCAGCACCCCGACCAAAGTTTTCTTCTATTTCAGGTAGCATCATAAGGATCTTTCAAGGACTTGTTTAGAGTGAAGGAGTATCATAAAACCACCCCTCACAAAGTTGATTGGACATCGATAATCATTTCATCGAATTGCATTGATTTGAAATATAAAACTGAATAGAAATGTGAGTGGGGACATAAATTGATATCTATAATTAAATTGTGATTTTGCAGTGTGGGCGGTTTCAACCGATTAATTGATTGGAGAATAACCTTAAACCATTATTAAGCTTTTGATATCTATAATTAAATTGTGAATTTGTGGTGTGGCCGGTTTGAACCGATTAGTTGAATGAAGAGTAACCAAACAATTATTAAGCTTTTTACATAATATATAACACTAATTTATATAATATTTTTCATATATATATAACTAAGTTAATTTTACATAATAGTTTTTTGTACATATAATACTTATTTGTATCAAATTCCACATCTCACATCTTTCACGCTGATTTTTATTTTGATATTTCAATTGAAGTAAAAAAAATTACATATGCATAAACTATGATGAAACGAGACAATTTTAGAAAATAAATTACCAATTTCAAATCATGAATCTAACATACAATTAGCAAGTGGATCGATAATTGAATGTTGTGTATTCAACTAAGATGTGTATTGATATTTTTTTGTGGTCATTTTGGTCCTTTTAAATAAGATTATTATTGTAATAAAAAATAATTAATTAATGATATACCTTGAGATAAAATGTGATGCGTAAATAGGGTCACTCCGGAACACACCGCAGCGACTCCAACTATGCTTGTTTAGCCTTTCAGGTTTCTTCAACTCTGCTTCGCCATTTTTGTCCTTTATGGTTCCAAGTCGTAGATGTTACTATTCCAATTTAATCTTGAATTTGTTTTATTTTATTTTTTGTTGTTTTATTTCTTTCTTCAGTGACGTGGCTTCCTATCCTACTCTCACTTCTATGAGCTGAGATTCTTCTTCTATCCACAAACACTTGTGTGATTAGTGTGGAGTTGTTTTTTATACTGTGAGGTGAGGAGAGAAGATAGGTAAATTCGTCAACCAACTAAAAAACCCTTTTTTTATGTAAATAACCAAAACATGATCTCTTCTTCCATCACTACTCTATTGGATTTTGGTGAGAGAAGCAGAAAATGCCATACAAACACTCTTGAGGGTAATGGGTAGTGGTTACACAAACAATTCAATCAATTCAATGAAGTCTTGTTAATTATAACTCTCTTTTAATAGCAGACATGGGTGCACTATCAACCCCTACTCAAAGCCTCAGAGCAACACCATCTACAACAATATCTAACTCCATTTACAAGGTTACAATTAAACTCTCTTCAACTTTATGTATACATTATATATATCTACATATATTGATCCTTTTCTTTCTCTTTCTTTCTCTAGAAACCCTTTGCAGATTGCAGTATTTTGTCATCAAAACATAATTCATTTCTCAGAGGCCAATTTCATACTAGACTCTTTCTTGGATTCAATTCAGTTCGTAATCTTAGAAATCGTGCAGGTATGTCATCATTTGAAAAACTCACTTCTAGTTTATTAGACTAATTCCTGATAAATTGTTGTTGTTGTGAAGTAATTAATTTACAAGCACTTCTACATTGATTTCCATGTATTTATAACAGTAAATTCGGATCGATATTTTTTTTTCCCGGGTACGTTAGCCTGGGGAGGGGAACCATTACTGTGGCAATATTCAACTAGGGTTTGATTTACTTGAATGAGATGGACTAAGAGTGAATTATCATTCCTTTACCTACTTGTAACCTCGATGTATTTTGAAGAATGTACAAGTTCTTGCCACATTGATAGATTTTATGTTTGAGTTTTGTATCTACTCATTAGAGTGAACACATGAATCATTGTGAAGAGACAACAGACTAGCTACATTGATAGGATTTTATGTTGATTTTTATCCATTCCTCTTTTGCTCTGTTTGTTTGATGAAAATACATGATGGAATCTGAAAATAGGTTATCTTAACTAATTTGGGTTGGAATCTTTATTGTATTTGTTTCATCTATACTATTGGTGAGTGAAAAGAGACACTATACTATGGATTGTGGAGAAAATATAAAGTCACAAACAAATTTCGGACCCTAGATTATGAAAATTGCATTCAAGTTAGGATTAATTGGAATGAGTTTCAAAATATGTCGAATTCTCTATTGTTTTCTTAACTTTTTTTTTTTCCCTCTTAGCTGCATACTGTTGGAAATAAAATGGCTAAACAAATCAAACATTTGGAAGAGAATTAAAGAACTTTTCACTCATATTCCTACAAAGCTATATATAGATTTCAAGGAACAACCTATGGCATTATAATATTAAGACTATTAATCACAAATATTAAGAGTCATTACCTCTCTGTAATCCAAAACTATTAAAATAAAACTAGATACTGCTAAATTCTCCTAACTTATCACTCCTCCATAACTAGCAACAATAAACGTCACTAATCACCATGCATGCATGAAAAACAAAACTCTCAAAATAATTAAAAAAAACAAGTTTATTACTTTTGACAATCTAACTCAATTATCTTGGCATTTTCCATCAAGGTTGTGATTTCGATGTATTTTTGTGATGTGAAGGTGTTATTGTTTCACCAAGTTGTGTCCTTCCGCTGACTGAAGAGAATGTTGAGAAGGTGTTGGATGAAGTGCGGCCAGGCCTAATGGCGGATGGTGGTAATGTGGTTCTACATGAAATTGACGGTCTTGTTGTGGTACTAAAGTTACAAGGAGCATGTGGGTCTTGTCCAAGTTCAACTATGACACTCAAGATGGGAATTGAAACTCGTCTTCGAGATAAAATCCCTGAAATAATGGACGTGGAGCAGATCCTCGACACCGAGACTGGCCTTGAGTTAAATGACGAGAACGTTGAAAAGGTTAGACTAATGAAATTCTCCAATTAATATAATCATATGTTGTATATTTTAGCTATGCTATAAACTGGGAAACTGGATTTTATGTTTTAATGCCACAAGACAGGCCACAGGACTGAAAAATACATTACAACAAAGCTTGATTGTGCATTTTACTCGTAGTCTCTAAGCTTGTTTAAATGGATTTTGTCCTGTTAAAAATCATTATTCATGCCAGTTTTACTGTATACATGTGCCAAACCAGCTTTAAAGATTATAAAATTCAGTGCTGATAATATGCAGAAATTTTAAGATTCAAGAAATGTATTCCAAATTATGTAATAATAGTAATCTGCCAGTTGAATGGCAGTGACCTAAATTTTGCATCAAAGGTTGTTGTCCTACGAACTTTCAAAATTCTCATATGCACACTGGGTTGCTTTTGCATTTATGAAAATTAAATTACAATTTATTTTTTATATTTTTTTGGTGCATTATGTACAACTTTTTTTTTTTATTTTTTGGTGACAATTTTTTTTTGTTTCATAACAGAGCCAGCTTTTTTTTGTTAGCTCTATTGTCAAAACCTAGTTCCAACTTTGAGAGTTTGTTTTTAAAGAAAGAAAGAAGGAAAACATTGGCATCTTTACATTTTGTGTTTGTCAATTTCATGAATCATGCATGTTCATTTTAGGCAGAAAACGCTAGGCCTTAAATACTCTGCTAAACCTCCTTTATCTTCTTCTTCTTCTTCTTCTTTTAAAAAAATAAATAAAATAAAATAAAAAAAAAAAAGAAACAACTAAATCATTACGTTAATATGGTTACTTTTTTTTTTCAAAATTATTTTCATTTACATAATAAATTATTTTTTTCGAGATGCGCATAAACTAGTCCGGACACTTTGAGTTATCATAATAATAATAAATAGCAGCAAGAACAAGGTCAGTCAACAACTGACATCTGTTGTATTATCGATGATGAATAAGAAAAGTGAATTTGTTACTGAGGATTCCTCCACTTTGCTCATATTTCAGGTTCTATCTGAGATAAGACCCTACCTTGCTGGCACAGGAGGAGGAATACTCGAGCTGGTTCAAATTGATGACTATGTTGTCAAAGTGCGTTTAAGTGGGCCTGCAGCCGGGGTTATGACAGTGCGTGTCGCTCTAACACAGAAATTGAGAGAAAAAATACCAGCCATTGGAGCTGTCCAACTGATGGATTAATGGAACAACAGACAAACTATACTTTACTCTCTGTAAAGTGATTTCATAGAAAATTTTCACACCTTTTTTTTCTTTTGTTTTTTCCGTCACGGCACAACTTGTATTCAAGGCATCAAATGTTCATCCGGATGACATTGAGTTTGCTATCTGGGAGATGGCATAGATTACGCTCATCACTTAAGAAATGCAAGTAATTAGTTGAAACTTGGTGGTATATAAAGCAAGGTCATGATAATCCATGTTCATTTGTTTGTTGCAATTGAAATGTGGTTTTGAATCTGTTATCTAACCCCCCATATTTAGAAAGATTCTACAAGCGTGAGAAGCTTAATCTGGAGGTGCTGCTTTCTTCTGCAACAATGATGTTTGGCAGCTCAGACAGTTCCCGGGAACTATGAAAGAAATCCTATATATTCCCACTTCTCATCTAGATGACTACCTCAATGATATCGATCTGGATATGCTTCCCTAGGATATTTTGTCCATTTTCTGAATTGAATGGTAAAATACTGATTTAAAAATTGACCCAAAGACCAAAGTTGAAATGAAAATACCCAAGAGAGAATTGAAATTCAAGTTAGTGCTCATATTTCATCTTCTTATTTTATGCAGTCCCAACCCATGGTATTTGAATAGAAATTCAAACTTTTAATTGTATGTAATGCAGTAAATTTCTCTGCTATTTTGCTGCAAATCTTATGGCTTTAGTTCTATCATATTTGTTCTTGAATCATAACATAACTAGAAACATTCTAACTATTGTTTGAATGTGCTAACATAATTTGGCACGGTTTAAACATTTCAGCATTCTGGCTTCATATTTGCAGTAATGAAACTAGCTAGTCTGTCTGTTTCGCAACAAAAGATAGCAAATAGAAAGATAAAACCATCCAAACAGAGCTCCAAATGTCTTAGACAAGGCCTTCTTGAGTTTAGTGTCGTCATCAGCATTACTATCTCAGAGGAAATTGCAAGTGCTCATTTTGATAGCTTATACCATATTCACTTACTGAAATGTGTGCATAATAGCTGCATGTTTTTTCTGAAATACAAATAATTACAACGTTTTGTTGTTTGATGCTATGTCTAGCCGAGGATGTTTAATATGTAGCCTCCTGAGCAAAACTACCTTAGTACTTGATACATTTATAAACAAGTTTAATTTACACTACTAGTAATCATCATCTTCTTCTCTGGATCCAAAGAATCTCCTGATGACAGCAGAAGCAGCACCAAGAAATATGAACAGAACCAAGAGATCAAATCCACCTCCAATGCCAACAGCAACACTGGGACCCGGGGCAAAGAATGAAAATGGTGACCAACCCCATCCTCCATAAAATGGTACACCAAATCCATACCCGTATCCACCAACTAGGGGTGGTGCAACTGGTGGATTGATATAAACATTGGTCCTGCTCAAAAAATAAATAAATAAATAAATAATATATTACAAAAAATTGAAATTAATTATGGCATCTTTGTAAAGAAAGTGAAAGCAAATCCATAAAGAAAAACCAACAAATAATATCATAAAGCTGCATATGTTCGTTTTTTCAGTAAAATATCTTTCACTCTTCAGTGTGAATACAAATAATCCACTCCTAACATTCCTGTGAAGCAATAACATGTATTGCCAATAAGAAAATAGTAAAGGAAGTTTGCAAAAATGAGGAAGATATCAGATGAAATAATAATAATAATAATAATAGGAGGTGGATTCCTAATAATAAAACTCTCCAACAGTATAAACCTACACAAGACGACGGCCAAAGAATTTAAACCCCTCCATGTTGTCAAAGATGATAATGCAGTTTTGCATCAAGATCAGCGTTCAGTCAATCCACCCCTAGAAATATCCTAGCTTTGATGGAAGAAAAATGGGTAATAACAAACAGAAGAAACCAAAGAACTAGAACTTGATAATTTGATGATCAACAATAGTAAAGCGAAAGTTACATGTACATGCAAAAGAAGAGGAACGGAAATAGAGGACATGCAAGGTAACGAACTTTATGAAGTTGTGTCACGATATAGAACCTTCATACTTCAGGCTGAACTGCAACATTGAAGAGCATAGAAAAGGTCAAAATGATTGTGCTAGTGCATATCATTATCACCTTAATTTGAATGTTTTCCAATTGCATCAGTCTTTTAAAGTCCCAGCCTACTACAACAATCAACACAAAGGCACTCATGCAAGATGACCCAAAAAAAAAAAAAAAAAAAAAACCCAAGAATGAGAATTCAAAGACAAAATGCTCCAACCCTAGAAATCAAACCATCTCTATCTCTCTCTCTCTCTGTTCTATGCCCCCCTCTCTATCCCTTCTCTCTGCTTCTTCGGTCCTATACCCTTTGTAATGCCACTGCTTTGGTGACCCTCAGCATTGCCATCATCCATTGGCACCACCATGGCTTTCACTGTCTACCACAACCAATGCCATGGCACTCTCATCAGCACTATTCACCACTGCCATCATGTATTGGCACCACCATCACTTCCACTGTCGACCACAACCAATGCACACCAGCAATACCTTATGTACAGCGCAATGAGTGTTTCAAAAAGTGGTTGGCGCCATTACGTAATGCAATTATGTAATGGTATTGGTGGTTATCACCATCCTTACGGCTGATTTGTGGTGTGAATGAAAATCATTAGTGTAACTGTTACGATTGTTACAAAACCGTAATTGATGTTTTTTTAAAGCATATTTGACCATAAAAGGCCATTTCGCATTTTTTAAGATTTTAATTGTTGAAATCTCATAGAAAACACAGCCTTGGGTTGAAAATTTTAGATCTACAACTTTTTAGTATCCAATGTTCAAGATCTATAAGATTTGAGTTGCAAACAAGATTAGATGAGCTTAAATATGTTTGTTTTACATTTTCATTATTTTTCCAGTTGATTTTTTGAAGATTTATGAATATTGACTTAAATCTTGTTTGTTTTAGATTAATTTGTTAAACACTCTTCTTACTTGCATTATCAATTTATGTTAATAAATTATGATTTATGATTCTTAAACATGGTTTATAGCAACTTAACGTAGTATAAAAATTAGTGCATAAATTGACTCATGTTTAAAAATAAAATAAAACAGCAAAAAACCATTTCAAATTCCAATGCATGCGATCCTAAAAATAAAAACATGCATAACGGTACATTTTCTAATTGCCACAACTATTACCAGATGTCATTATACTTCGCAACTGCGCAACTGTGTCACCACAACGGTTGCCATTACAACAACTGCAATAGTTACTTGAAACCTTGACCACAACTGCCGTTGTGACAACTACATGTACATCTGCCAACTATGCCTCAATAGTACTAACAATTCCTGAAGGTATTTCCATTTTGCTTACGCTCCATTTGTAGTTGTGAATTTGAAATGCATGGATTTGGCAAGAAGAGTAACCCAAATTTAGATTTGATAGTTTACTTAACTATTTTAAGATCAAACTAGAGAGCTTTATCATGATGCATTTGAAATAACTATGCTAAGTAGTTATTTGAAATCAAGCTAATGATTCCCCTTTTAGCTACAAAGATGGTACTAAAATACATCTTTTCTAGTTTTTCTATTAACCTATAATAGGTAACTCTCTAATATTTTTTACAAAATCCAACTTTAAATCCTTTTGATTTAAAATCTACATCTATCCAAACGGAGCCTTAAATTCATTAACTAAATACATGTATTTCTTTCATTTATATCCTAGACTATACTTTGTTCACCATCTATTTGTGGAAATGATTTCGAGAAAATGGGTCTAACTCACTTCCTATACACTCTCCATGAGCCTATGAACTTATAGTGAATATCATAATTCACAGGGCAAATTATATTGGTAGTCCCTGCATTTTGTCTCTTATGTCATTTTGGTTCCTATAATTTTATTTATCTCAATTTTGACCCTTAATTTTTGATTTTGTGTCAATTTAGTCTAATTAATAATACCGATTAAGGTTTTTGCAAAAAAATTGTCACTAAATTGATTGAGGTTAACTCAATCAGTTCAACAAGTTCATAATTTTGTCTATAAAAGTATATGACACATGCCATTTATGTGCACATTTTTCATAATAATAATAATAATAATAATAATAATAATAATAAAAAATAAATAAATAAAAACACGCTAACAATTGTAATCAATTTGACTAAATTGAGGCAAAATTATAAATTCAGAGTCAAAATCGAGTCAATTGAAATCACAGGGACCTAACTGACACAATGGCTAAAATACAAGGCCTACCAATGTAATTTTCCCTAATTTATAATTGTCTTTGATGGCTAATGCCATATACGGGTAGATCCAAGAAATTTTCTTTTGGGAACGACTCACAACCAAAAAGTAATTAGCAAGGAATTATGATGTCTTAATTACAAAAGAAGTGCCAGGTCTTGAAGAAAAACCAACAAACATGTGAATGTGCATGTGTATAATCCTTCAATTTATAATTGTCATCACTTTTTTCATCTTAGTCCTTGAATTGTCAAAAGTATAATTATCCTATGATGAGACCATGTGATTATAATAATTAGGAAACTCCAAATGCTGCTTCATTATAAATATTTCTTGAAAGAGAAACATTCCATCCTTCACAATAAGAAATTGCTAGGCTATGATATGAGCCAATATTTTAGATTCAGACACTTTAGAGTGACATCTGTACCCAATATATAATCGCAGGCTTGCAGCTTCCTGTAAATAGAGCAGTAACAGCTCAACCCATATGGTGTGTCAATTTAATATCGCAAGTTGCTAGAATCTTATCCGGGACATCAACATAAAATGAGATGAGCATAAACATGTCCGTGTCTCACCAGTTCTAGCATCCCCAATATCCAGGCAACAATTCCTTGGCTTCAACTAACTATGATTGTTTCTTAATTACTGTCGCTAGGAGGTACCAGGTCTAGGCAATAAGGGCATACAGATCTTTTGTGGGATAGCATACTCATAGTAAGACAGTTCATATTAAACATATAGCAGGAGAATTTACATGAAGGAGAGTACATACTATGAAAAAAATACTAAATTTTTTTTTTAAAAAAATCCAAATTTCAAGGAAGGCTAAGGAGGCAAATCATCCCGTACAAAGTAACCGGACACAAGAGCAGCCCCCCTTGTTAGAATATTTACCTCTAACAGCAATCTAGGATCCAAACAAGGGACTTGACCAAAACATATTAAGTTAGAGCAATTTTCGGCACCCCTTGTCTATTTCTTCCATCTAACCACAGGCAGCCACAGCTTCCACCATGGCAGCAGCAAAACTACTGTTAGCCACCTCGTTTAGGAATTTACTCTAACCTCCATTTTCCCAACTTATGCACCTAACCATATTCAACGTGAGAATCATATATTTAGATCCCCTAGCTTATGGTAAAGGAAGTAAATTAATCTTATCTATTTTTAATATATATATTTTAGCTGTTGTTTATCATATTATTTTTTTTAAGGCCAATAACATGAAAATCAAAAATCTCATAACTTCCATCAAAAGCATTCCAACAATGATTTTCAAAAAATCCCAGAAACTGGAAAAAATGAGAAACACGGGTAAAAGATGCCACGCACATCCATGCAGAAGCTTGGTCCAGTATTGTTACTTAGAAGTAATTAGTTCTCTGATCAGAATGGTAACTTTTTTTCTGATAACTAATTTCCTAAGAAATAAAAATTTAAGGTCACTTGATTTTCAGTGGGAGGAAATTTTATATGTGAAGCATCTTCCTGACCTCCCACAGGTTCAAAGCATAAATCAAAAGTAGAAACAAATTAGTGCTAAAAATTGAAATTATCTAAACCTTGCAGGATGAGGGAATTGTCGATAATAAACTCTTTTGTCCCAATATTCAAAAAGATCTATACACGAGAGTTATTGTAGCTTCATTTTCCCAAAAACAATCTCATGGTGTATTTTAGAGTTAAAACCAACAAATGTCTTCTGTTATATAATATGAGAGATGAATATTTGTGATTCATTTGAGTTCCTTTCTTACTTCAAGCTGTCTCAAGCTAAATTCAAATTCTATCAAAATAATAGAATCACATCTCTGCCACAGTGGAATTGTGATTCCCACATGCTTCAAGTTACGAACTATATAATCTAGTACTATATCCATCAGTGATCAGCATAGAATCCTAATAGAAACTCCTGAATCGACGCACCATTTTAGGACCACATTCTCAAGCAACCTATCTCACTACACCCAAGTATGACAAAGCATTAATCCCAGCCATTTCCATCAGCATCCAAGCCTAGTATCATCTAATATAAGAAAATGAGTGACAAAATTATATAACTTGTTGTCAATACTGAAATCTATGGTCATGCAATCCGGTTGCAACTCCAATCCATACCACGATTAAATTAAAATGAGTAAATTACATTCACCTCCCTTGAGGTTTGGGAAAAATAAAGTTAGCCCCACACTTTTGACATAATTACACTGGTCCCCTTTGAGGTTTTAATTTGAATAATAGTTAAGCTATTTTTCATCAATAATTCGTTACTTCTATGAATGAAAACAATGATGTCATATCTTTTCTACTAAATTGTATGTTTATCTTTGATAATTTCAGTGTTTATGCGCCATCTGCATTAGTTTTTGCAGCTTTCACCATACTAAAAAGGAGGTTAGTATAAATATGTCAAACATATGGGGTTAATTGTATTTTTCCCAAACCTCAAGGAAAGTGAGTGTAATTTACCCAATCAAATTTGTGTCTTAACCACTTATATAAAGCTCTGATCAATAATATATATGGCCAAAATTTTTTTAATTTGTTAAATAGCTTTGCAATACCAACATTTAGTGATTTTCTTCAGTCCATCAGCCAGCCCGCCTAGTCATCCAGTCTCTACATGGCCTATGGATTTGTCATGACCAGGGAATTATTTTTATGAGCAAATTCTAACCATAGCCATTGCAATATTTTCTTGTGTCAATTAGTCCTTGTAATTGCAATTGTATCAATGTTGCCCATTAATTTAAACATTATGCGAATTTAAAATGGTCCATTCAAAAGGAATTACACCATTTCAAATTAGATATAACTCCCCCGCAATCACTTTGAAGAGAGAAAAAACTAATTTGATCCTTGATTACAGTCAAATTTCTCAAAATTTGTTATCAATTACACTAAAGTGACACAATATGCGAACTTTAAAGGTGAAATTTATACAATTAAAACTATAAGGATTTCGGGTGTAATTTGCCCTATTGTTATTTCTCATGATTGTGTATCCCTAAAGTATTCCTTTCATCAGATACTACCTTCATAAAGACACTAAGTGAGAATTTTAAGTTGCTGATAATGGGCAACACATGAGCAGAACTTGAAAATTCAGGTATGAAGCTAGATAGTGAAGTCAGTAAAACTACCCAAAAAAATAAAACTGAAACAAGTAACAAAGTGCACTTAAAAAAGAAGATTAAACTACCTTGAATTATTGATTCTAGGTGAGGAGAGTGGAGGAGCCGATGAACGGAAGGCCTGACCACCGACTCGGCCGCCTGTCTTGGCGGCTGATGCAGGGTCAACTGATCCCAGTGTCAAAACCCCAGCTGCCAATGTTACTATTGCCAGTTTTGCCAAGGGGTTCTCATTTTTTCTGTGAATTCAAACAAAAATTATTTTCTCAGGAAACAAACACACAAATAAAGGGAGAGAAGACTCCCAAAAGAAAACAAGAAAGGAATTATCTTACAAGGAATTTTTAGGGTGATCTGATTGGTAGCCACATGAGATAGGTATGGAATTCAGAGGAATCAGGTTCTTGTTGTTGTTGGGTTTGTGGGATGGAGTGAGAGCGTTGATTAGCAAGCTCTGCTGAGAGAAGGCTATGGACATTTTGCTATGCTATGCTATGCCGATTGTCTAATACTATACAACTTCCTACTAGTCTTAGTATTATAAATTAATATGTCCTTTCTCATTTGAGTTTTGTTATCCATCTCTGTGCTCGGATGGATGACCCAATGTGTGTGGGATTTTTTTTATTTTTAATAATTTTATGTTCCTTATATATAGATAGGTATAAATGGATAATGCACTAGTGATTCTGAAAGGTGCCGCGTGGTAGAATTGTAATGGCTGAGAGGTGGATTTCCCGAGGATTTTAAGCCTCCGTTTGGGAAGTGGGTTGACTTTTTAGCTTTTTGGATTTTTTTGGCTATTTTAGCCTGGGCTTAAAAGCTTGGTTTGGGAAGGACTTTTTGGCTTTTTAACTTAGCTTGGTTTGGGAAGGACTTTTTGGCTTTTTAACTTAGCTTGGTTTGGGAAGGACTTTTTGGCTTTTTAACTTAGCTTGGTTTGGGAAGGACTTTTTGGCTTTTTAACTTAGCTTGGTTTGGGAAGGACTTTTTGGCTTTTTAACTTAGCTTGGTTTGGGAAGGACTTTTTGGCTTTTTAACTTAGCTTGGTTTGGGAAGGACTTTTTGGCTTTTTAACTTAGCTTGGTTTGGGAAGGACTTTTTGGCTTTTTAACTTAGCTTGGTTTGGGAAGGACTTTTTGGCTTTTTAACTTAGCTTGGTTTGGGAAGGACTTTTTGGCTTTTTAACTTAGCTTGGTTTGGGAAGGACTTTTTGGCTTTTTAACTTAGCTTGGTTTGGGAAGGACTTTTTGGCTTTTTAACTTAGCTTGGTTTGGGAAGGACTTTTTGGCTTTTTAACTTAGCTTGGTTTGGGAAGGACTTTTTGGCTTTTTAACTTAGCTTGGTTTGGGAAGGACTTTTTGGCTTTTTAACTTAGCTTGGTTTGGGAAGGACTTTTTGGCTTTTTAACTTAGCTTGGTTTGGGAAGGACTTTTTGGCTTTTTAACTTAGCTTGGTTTGGGAAGGACTTTTTGGCTTTTTAACTTAGCTTGGTTTGGGAAGGACTTTTTGGCTTTTTAACTTAGCTTGGTTTGGGAAGGACTTTTTGGCTTTTTAACTTAGCTTGGTTTGGGAAGGACTTTTTGGCTTTTTAACTTAGCTTGGTTTGGGAAGGACTTTTTGGCTTTTTAACTTAGCTTGGTTTGGGAAGGACTTTTTGGCTTTTTAACTTAGCTTGGTTTGGGAAGGACTTTTTGGCTTTTTAACTTAGCTTGGTTTGGGAAGGACTTTTTGGCTTTTTAACTTAGCTTGGTTTGGGAAGGACTTTTTGGCTTTTTAACTTTTTTGAGTTTTTTTTGTGAGAGAAGAATGTAATGATTATGGGTTGGATGTGATGTTTTGTTTGTTATGGTTAAAATAACCTATTTTGTTTTTTGTGGCTAAAATAGCCAAAAAAACCTGCAAACCCACTTGCCAAACACAGGCTAAATATTTTATTAAGCTTGATCTTGTTAACACTTTATCAATTATTTTAAATTTTTATTTTTTAATATTTTTTATTACATTAAACCTTAAATGAAATTATTTAAAATGACATTAATAATTTTAGAATATCACATATCATAATTAAGTTTACACATTTACTATATCATGAATTAAGATTTATAAGAGTACCGACCTCTATTACCATCTATTCATCTTCTCTAAATCATACTTTCAAAACTATCCATCATCAAAATCTTAAAATCTCTTTCGTAGCAATATTCTGACAGTAACGGCAGAAACCATTTGATTACATATACTTCCACAGCAATGACAATGAGTAGAAGTTTTTTCAACAATTGCAACTCTATGAGATAAGAGAAGTATAACAATAAAAGCTTAGAGATAGCTTATAGCTTTGATAGGGTTCTTAGCTCAAAGCAAATTGGCTTTGTAAGGGTAAATTTTTTGAAAAAAAAAAATGACAAAAGTAATGAAAATTATGTGTCATTTTTTTGGGATTAAACTCCCAAACATATGACTGAAATTCGAAAATACAGTCTGAACATTGTTTATTTATTCGATAACAGGTAACGAAACATTTCTTATTTGTTCGGTAATAAATAACCAAACATTATTAATGAACATTTTTCAAACTTTAAAATCACAAAACCTAAGTAAGATAAGGAACAAGAATTGAAACTTTTAGAGAATTCAAAGAAACCTATCTAAGAGATTACAAATCCAAACTCGTACATATCGCAGAACCCACCAAAGGAGAATTTTGAATCAACAACAAAAAATCCTACATTTATTTTCTTAGGTCATAAACATGTATGTAAAGATGAAGTAGTAATCACTTTCGTGAGTTTTGTTAGGGTTTCTAGGAGAGAGATTTTTTGGGGTATGGTGTGTGCATTTAATTGTGAAAAATTTAGAAATTTCCTAGATATTGATTTGTGATTATGTATCAATTTTAAGTAGTAAATAACAATCTCAATCAAACAATCAAGACAAATCAACACAACGATTTTAACGTGGAAAAACCACAATTGGAGCGCCTCCAATTATGATGAAAAAAAACCACGAAAAAAAGACACAAAACAATCCACTGAGAAGACATAAAGGAATTACACAAGTGTACTCTCAATTACCTAGCGAATCCACGCCCAAATCGAACCGACCCCTATATGCCTCTTCCGCCACAGTCTTCACATCAGAATTGTCTTGTCCAATATTGAATCCACAACGTTAATGTTGAATCCACGACAATGAGCCACTCCAGAATCCACCAAAGCTTCAGGCCCGAATTTCACGGAATCCATCGAAGAACAACACTTTCTTTTGTATAGAATAAAACAAACAATCCTTTGATGTATAGTTTTCAAAACATGAGTTAAACTCAAACGAACATCAAAGAAACTAGCAAAGAAGCTCTAGAGAGAAACCCTAATATCCAAGAAGAAGATCTGGAAGTCGTAACCCTAAAATCTGACTAAAACATATATTTATAGAAAATCAGGCCGCAACGGTCGCTCGAGCGAGCAGATTGAAATGCGTGTTTTTCAGAGTGTCTTTACTCGAGCCACCAAAGTGTCGCTCGAGCGAGAAATGCAACTTCTCAGTATTTTTACAGTCAGTGAAAACTTCTGGGACGAAGGATTCTTCGCTCGAGCGCACACTCCTTCGCTTAAGCGACCAAACAACTTCGACTGGGCGCTGCCCCTCAACCCCACCTGGGCGCTACCCTGGACTCGCCAAGGGGCGCTGCCCCCTGGATCCTCGTGAACTGACCGGGCAGCTTGATCCCCAACATAGTCAGCGAAGTGGCAAACATGAAAGAATTAACTTTTGAAACAACTCTGCAAGGCACAATTCAAGTTGGATTCGCATCTAAATACTCATAGCCTCACTGAAATAAAAGAGCGAATAAAAGTACAACTGGAAGGAGTTTTGTCAAACGGGATTGCCAAGAATAAAAACCTAACAATCTCCCCTTTTGGCAATGTCGTGACAAAACACACCTAACAAATAAAATCCTAAACACCCCAACCCATTACAACCAATAAAAATAAACTTCTTTCTTAAGGTCATGATCTGCAAAAACAGCTATTAGTGCCACAATCTCCAAAACAACTATTAGTGCCACAAAAGTATAGGAAAAAGCAATAAACATATGACAAAATATCTTGAGCATAGATGGAAATAGAATAGATATAAATTGAAGATTTTAAAAAGCATGTAGCATGATAACATGAAAATAGACACATGACAGATTACAGGATAACATGAAAACCTAAGACACAGTACCCAACATATGGCATGAATACATGAAATCCTAAGATACATGCCACCTAGCAACTTTTTCCCCCTTTTTGTCACGAATTGACAAAGGAAGCTCAAATAACTAAAGCAAGATCAAAAACCATACAAACAGGACAGATGTTGGAAAAATTATTAACCTACGAGAAGTAAGCCAATAAACAAGCGGAGGATAGCAACACACAAACCAACTAATGCCAAACTCCCTTACCAAACGAATCCCAAATGAACCAAACTCCCCCTAACTAAAAGCAACCACAAACGCTGAAAACATGAACAAATAAGAAAAAGACAAAAACAAAATATAGTGAAGCAACCAAGGAATTCTAATTTGTGCCTTAAAACACACAAGATTATCCAAGAAACACAATTACACGAAAACACATGTGCACAGCCTCTAGACTATTCCTTATAAAAGAAAGTGATACATTATGTAAAAGCATAGATCCCATGAAAAAGTGTTGTGTGACACTTGGAGTTCGACAAACACTAAGATTCAAATCCTAGTAGCGATCTGAAAGCTGGACTTCCAGCCAAGAGAATCTAAGCACAATAAAGGAAAGTCAAACCACTAGAAATCAAGGGTATTTGTTGAGTAAAAGCGGAGGCTCCCACTCAATCAATGAATATTTTTTTTCCTTTCTTTCTTTTGCAAATTTTTTTTCTTTCTTTTGCACACTCCATTTGGTGGTTATAGCTCAAGAGTAGGAAACCGAACCAGAGAAGCATGGAATATAATAAGGATAGCCTAGTTGGTGAGTCTAAGATAACCTTTTCTCATAGCTGGACTACAAAGAACTGAGGGAAAAGCCGCATAGATGCAAAAGATGAAAGTGATTAAGAGACTCAACATCACCCATGATATGCTAGTATAGGTCAATTCCTCCAGAAAAGCAAAAGATACAGTGCTAGAGAGTCCAAGAGAAAAATGATCACTAAGGCGAAAAGACTCCAATATTGCTAATCCAAGAGTGAGTACAGAATGAGACATTTATAACAAAAGTACACACACACTTCCAAAATGAGTAATGACCACATAAGCACACATATTTCAAAATATGGTGAAGGATACTCAAGGGACTTACTCAAAAATTTCAAGCTTGCAAAACCAATACTAAGGAAATCGTTTTGGATTTTTTTTTAAAACAAAGTAGGATAGAAACAAATGCGTACACTTTTTTTTTTAATTTTATTAAACAAAAGCAAGACAGGGAAAACGAACAGGCACACATCAAAATGACTCAAAAGAAAAAAAAACACACAAGAAACCCAAAAATAAAAATGAATAACCCAAATTAACACAAGTCAAGTTTTCTCACCCAAACTGCTTTTAATTTGAACAAAGTTGTGAAGAAATGCGTTTCTTAGGTGGTTAT